CTATAAATCCCAAATGACAAAATCAATTTTTTGAGTGAAGGACATACATTGGGTTATTAGGTGTCTTGTGTCCAAATTTGGTGTCAATTCGTCCAGTGGTTTTTGAGTTCTGTTAATCCCATTTTTATTTATATAGATTACTCGAGGAGGCTTGAAGAAGGTTGTAATTTCCAGCATCCCCCTTGTATAAAATGGCAAAAAGGCTCATATTGGGAATGCGAAAAGAATCCCTTGTAGCCATGGGTGTTTGAACCTGTGGGTGCAGAATCCACGGTTCCGGAGAGCCCACTGTATTTATTGTATTCCTTGGATGTATAGTGTTTTCCTCCCAACGTGAGACCCAAAACAGCTCAGAGTTCAGCCTTAGCTGGGCCTGGCGTTGGCTGGAGGGAGTTGGAAGCGTCTTGACTGGCTGAGATGCTCCGTCAACTGAAATGCCCTGACGTGGCCGTCATCCTCATCCGGTTTGGCTGATCTCAGAGATTAGTCAGCACAGAGCGATCTGCTTGCTCAGAAGACAAGTCTGTTGCCAAAGAAGCCAAAAAAAAGGGGGGGGGGGATTGCAAGGTAGCAGAGAAAGAGAGAGAGAGAGAGAGAGGGAAGGAGTTATGTCACCTCCAGATCTCTTCCAGCCTACTGAACAAGCCTTCAAGAACGGAAAGGCCAGATGTGTTTTGACACTGCGATCTTCTTTCGTGGCCAAAATGGATGTTCTTACAAGCGTCTCGTTTTCCCTCAAGCCGTCAGTGTGCAATTCCTCGTAGAATGAGAATGCGCATGCCTCTTATTTATTTATTTATTTACTTTACTTTACTTATATACCGCTGTTCTCAGCCCGGGGGCGACTCACAGGAAGAACAAAATTCAAGACACAGTATAAAAAACAATTCACAATCCAGCATTATACAAAAACATCGTCATTACTACGAAAACCATTCAGCTTCGTCTCATCGTCCAAATCACAATCCAGTATCATTTTCCGTTGTTCCATTCCTATAGTCATTACCAATCATTGCACTTCTTGTTCGAACGCCTTCTTGAAAAACCAAGTCTTTAATTTCCTGCGGAATATCATCAAGGAAGGAGCCAGTCTGATGTCCACAGGAAGTGTGTTCCACAGCCGAGGAGCCACCACCGAGAAGGCCCTATCTCTCGTCCCCGCCAGCCGTGCTTGTGAAGCAGGCGGGATCGAGAGCAGGGCCTCCCCGGAAGATCTCAAAGTCCTGGTGGACTCGTAGGTCGAGATGCAGTCGGATAGGTATCTTGGGCCGGAACCGTTTAGGGCTTTATAGGCCACCTTGAATTGAGCCCGGTAGCAGATCGGCAGCCAGTGGAGCTGGTACAACAAGGGGGTTGTGTGCTCCCTGCGTCCTGCTCCTGTTAGAATCATGGCTGCCGCACGCTGGACCAATTGAAGCTTCCGGGCCGTCTTCAAGGGCAACCCCACGTAGAGAGCGTTGCAGTAGTCTAAACGGGATGTAACCAGAGCGTGGACTACCGTGGCCAAGTCAGACTCCCCAAAGTACAGGCGCAGCTGGCGCACGAACCTAGGCTGTGCAAATGCTCCCCTGGTCACCGCCGAGAACTGGGGCTCTTGTCATTACTATTCATGTGGGTCAATCCATGACCATCAAAACTTTCTCTGGCTTAAGATTTCTACCCAACTAACCCTATTGTGACTATTTCTGTTGTCCTGGTTGTTAGGGTTATTATTGCAATTATAATTTATCTATGTTCTAGAGGCATTCTCTCCTGACGTTTCGCCTGCATCTATGGCAAGCATCCTCAGAGGTTGTGAGGTCTGTTGGAACTAGGAAAATTGGGTTTAAATATCTCTGGAATGATGTCCAGGGTGGGAGAAAGGACTCTTGTCTGTTGGAGATGGGCGTGAATGTTTCAACTGGCCACCTTGATTAGCATTTTTGGTGTAGCTTGTTACTGCCTGGGGGAATCTTTGAGTACCTTTCTTCTTTCACCTTGTTTATTAGGCTCCTCAGCTCTTCCTCGCTTTCAGCCATCAAAGTGGGATCATCTGCATATCTCAGGTTTTCTTAGCAAGTTAGAAAGTTTGCCATTGCCTTTTTCTGAGGCCGAGGGAGAGCAGAGAGGAAACAAATAAGGACATCTAATCACCTCTCAACAAAAGATTGCTCCAGGCACTGTCAGGGCATTATATGCTAATCAAGGTGGTCAGTTGAAACATACACACCTAGCTCCAGCAGACAAGAGTCCTTTGTCCCACCCTGGTCATTCCACAGATATATAAACCCATTGTCCTATTTCCAACAGACCTCACTACCTCTGAGGATGCTTGCCATAGATGCAGGCGAAACGTCAGGAGAGAATGCCTCTAGACCATGGCCATATAGCCCGAAAAAACCTACAACAACCCAATGTACATTGTAGATCAGCCACCAGATTCAGATGATTTAGAGAGGATTGTGAGTTTTCCCGTGGCACAAAGTGATGGGCTCTCGAATCTGGGAAATTCAAGTCTGTGAAATGATTGTTCTCTCTGTGAGAAAACTGGCTCAGAAAGTGCAAGGCTTCAAGGACATTCAGGGGAGCCAGAAGTAACAACAGCAGATAAGGAATCGAGTGAAGAGCTGAGTGATAAGGAGGGTTTCCATGGGATCAAGAAAGGTATTTGTTTGGAAATCAAAGGCGAAAATAGATTGTGTTGTTCAGAGAGATTAGGTGGGAATGTACTGAAAAACAATCATGGGAAACAGAATGATTTCATGGGTGTCTATTAAACAACAATTTGTTTACCTTAAGGTCAGTTCAGGCAACACTGCGTTGGTGTGAGACGCTAAGCCTGAGTTCTCTTGTTCCTGGTTCAAGTCAAGCTTTGATTTTGGATTGAATCTATCCTGGAAGTTTTCTATGTTCCTGTTTAAGTTTTACTAGTTATACTTTCTTGATTGTGGGCTTAGGCTGTCTCTGTGATTTCTGGCTGTTCCTGGACTTGGTCACCTCTGGAACTTCATGAGACATTTGGATTATTGTTTGGTTATTGCTAAACCTTTTCGGATTTTATATCTTTCTTTCTTATTCCTGCTTTTTATATGCTTCCTATATATTTTTAGAATAAAATGTTTGTTTATATTCCTGGACTTGTGTGGTGTAGTGGTCATAGGCGTTTCCTGGACTGGAGTGCAACAATGCATTATGCAAAGTTGTTTTCCCTTCAGCAGTCAACAGAAGTCCTAACTAGTTTACCAGCTGTTAGGATTTCTGGGAGTTGAAGGCCAAAACAGGTTGAGAACCACTGTTCTAGGATAGGGTCTCCAGAAGTTGACTTGAAGGGACGTGATAACCAACCTGGTCTGCAATTTGAGTTCTGGTAGCATGGAGAATGTAATCCACACATCCTCAAACTGTGGCCCTCCAGCTGCTTGGGCCTCTAACTCCCAGAATTCCTGACAATTGAACAAGCTTGTTAGGGCTTCTGGGAGTTGGAGGCCCAAACAACGGGAGGTCCGCAGTTGGAGACCCTATCCTAGAACAGTGGTTCTCACCTGTGGGCCCCCAGATGTTTTGGCCTTCAACTCCCAGAAGTCCCAACTAGTTTACCAGCTCTTAGGATTTCTGGAAGTTGAAGGCCAAAATATCTGGGGACCACAGGTTGAGAACCACTGTTCTAGGATAGGGTCTCCAGAAGTTGACTTGAAGGGAGGTGATAACCAACCTGGTCTGCAATTTGAGGTCTGGTAGCTGTAGAGTGTAATTCAGGCATCCTCAAACTGTGGCCCTCCAGCTGCTTGGGCCTTCAACTCCCAGAATTCCTGACAATTGAACAAGCTTGTTAGGGCTCTGGGAGTTGGAGGCCCAAACAACTAGAGGTCCTCAGTTGGAGACCCTATCCTAGAGCAGTGGTTCTCAACCTGTGGGTCCCCAGATGTGTTGGCCTTCAACTCCCAGAAGTCCCAACTAGTTTACCAGCTCTTAGGATTTCTGGGAGTTGTAGGCCAAAACAGGTTGAGAACCACTGTTCTAGGATAGGGTCTCCAAAAGTTGACTTGAAGGGACGTGATAGCCAACCTGGTCTGCAATTTGAGGTCTGGTAACATGTAGAGTGTAATTCAGGCATCCTCAAACTGCGGCCCTCCAGTTGTTTGGGCCTTCAACTCCCAGAATTCCTGACAAGCTTGTTAAGGTTTCTGGGAGTTGGAGGCCCAAACAACTAGAGGTCCGCAGTTGGAGACTCTATCCTAGAACACTGGTTCTCAACCTGTGGGTCCCCAGATGCTTTGGCCTTCAACTCCCAGAAGTCCCAACTAGTTTACCAGCTGTTAGGATTTCTGGAAGTTGAAGGCCAAAATATCTGGGGACACAGGTTGAGAACCACTGTTCTAGGATAGGGTCTCCAGAAGTTGACTTGAAGGGAGGTGATAACCAACCTGGTCTGCAATTTGAGGTCTGGTAGCTGTAGAGTGTAATTCAGGCATCCTCAAACTGTGGCCCTCCAGCTACTTGGGCCTTCAACTCCCAGAATTCCTGACAATTGAACAAGCTTGTTAGGGCTTCTGGGAGTTGGAGGCCCAAACAACTAGAGGTCCGCAGTTGGAGACGCTATCCTAGAACAGTGGTTCCCAACCTGTGGGTCCCCAGATATTTTGGCCTTCAACTCCCAGAAACCCTAACAGCTGGTAAACTGGCTGGGACTTCTGGGAGTTGTAGCCAAAACACACAGGGACCACAGGTTGAGAACCACTGTTCTAGAGTTTTGTTGACAAGATGGGTTCTGAATAGGTTTGCCTTTTCCTTCTTCTGATGCTGAGAGAGTGTGACTTGCCCAAGGTCATCTTCTGGGTTTCCATGGCTGAGCAAAGGTGTGAGCCCTGGTCTCCATCCAAGCATCCCAAGTCCAACCCAAAAAATTAAATCATTGCACTGTGTTATTTCACATGAAGTTATCAGCAATCTTTTAGCATGACCGTTACCAGGTGGACCTCTGTTTTGCAGTTGAATCATTTGTCTTCCTTTTCTCCCTACAGCGATGAAATCGGGAGGCACCCAGCTCAAGCTGATCATGACATTCCAGAACTACGGACAAGCCTTATTTAAGCCAATGAAGTAAGTGGGGAAAAATCTATGTTTCTTCTTGTCAGTGTTGTTTTCAAAGTGAAATGAGAACTTTGGCAACATGTCCTCTCTGAGGACCATCACCAAGGATCAGGGTCCTTCTCAACCAAGCTGTGGCCCAAATGGGAAATGACAAAATGCAACCCAATTTCATGACGGTTTCTTTAGCATGATTTAAAGATCAGCCCCTGAGGGTGATGTTTTGGGTCAGATCAGAGTAAACAACAACAACATGGAGAATGACTGAGTATTCCTTGTCCAAAATGCTTGGAATTAGAAGGGTTCTTTGAATTTGGGAAAGTTTGCATGTATACAAAGAAATATCTTGAAGGTGGGACCAAAATTCCAACACAGAATTCATTTTTGTTTCATAACCACCTTATACAAATACCCTGAGGCTACTTTTATATGCAATGCTTTAAATAATTTTGTGTATGACATAAAGTTTGTGTAGATTGACCCACTAGAAAGCAAAGGTGTCACTATCTCATCCAATTTCAGAATTTGGAGCATTTCAGATTGTTTATCTCGTTACATACTTTACTTATTGCTTATATAAGGCAGCGGTTCTCAACCTGGGGGTCGCGACCCCCAGGGGGGTTGCTGGGCCATTTTCTGGGGGTCACGAAGGCACATCGGTTGGCCCCGCCGCCTCTGCCTACACAAAATGGCTTGTGCCTTGCCTTGCACAAAGCCTCTCTTGCCGCCCTCGCGTTCCCACCGATTGGCACGGGTGTGGGGAAAGGCGAGGGCCTCTTCCTGCAAGGCTCTGCCTTGCACAAAGCTTCCCTTGCCGCCCTCGTGCTCCCGCTGATGGATAAATGGATTGATTTATCCCGGATGGATAAATGGATTGATTGATGGATGGATGATGGACAAATACTACAGCACTACATTTGGAGACTGCAGGCTGCTGACCATGAGGACATAGGCCAAAGTAAAGATGGATGGACACCATCAATGAAAACATGCGTATTGCCAGCCTGAGACCTGAGGATGTCCAAAACAAAGCCTTGTGGAAACAACAGTCACAATGCTAACTCCTCTATTGGGAAAATGGCTTAGAAAGAAGAAGATGGATGGATGGATGGATGGATGGATGGATGGATGGATGGATGGACAGATACTARAGCACTACATTTGGAGARTMCYYGATGCTMACCATGWGGACAWAGGCCAAAGAAAAGATGMATGGACACCATCAATGAAAACATGTGMATTGCCAGCCTGAGACCTGAGGATGTCCAAAACAAAGCCTTGTGGAAACAACAGTCACAATGCTAACTGCTCTATTGGGAAAATGACTTAGAAAGAAGAAGATGGARAGATGGATYGATYGATGGACAGATACMATAGCARTACATTTGGAGATTGCAGGATGCTTACCATGTGGACAAAGGCCAAAGAAAAGATGTATGGACACCATCAATGAATGGATYGATGGGTGGGTYGATYGACAGATGGARAGARAGATAGATAGACAGACAGATYGATYYATGGATGGATGGATGGATGGACAGATACTAAAGCACTACATTTGGAGATTGCAGGGTACTGWCCACGTGGACAAAGGCCAAAGAAAACATGGATGGACACCATCAATGAAGACATGCATACTGCCAACCTGAGACCTGAGGATGTCCAAAACAAAGCCTTGTGGAAACAATAGTCACAATGCTAACCCCTCTATTGGGAAAATYGCTTAGAAAGAAGATGGATGGATGGACGGACGGACAGACAAACGGACAGACAGACGGACGAATGGACGGATGGATTGATGGATGGATGGACAGCTACTACAGCACTACATTTAGAGATTGCAGGATGGTGACCACGTGGACAAAAGCCAAAGAAAAGATGGATGGACACCATCAATGAAGACATGTGTACTGCCAGCCTGAGACCTGAGGATGCCCAAAACAAAGCCTTGTGGAAATGACACAATGGTAACCCCTCCACTGGGAAAATGGCTTAGAAAGAGGATGGATAGATGGATGGACGGACGGATGGATTGCTTGATGGATTGATGGACAGATACTACAGCACTACATTTGGAGATTGCAGGATGGTAACCACGTGGACAAAAGCCAAAGAAAAGTTGGATGGACACCATCAATGAAGACATGCGTACTGCCAGCCTGAGACCTGAGGATGCCCAAAACAAAGCCTTGTGGAAATGACACTCACAATGGTAACCCCTCCACTGGGAAAATGGCTTAGAATGAAGATGGATGGATGGATGGATGGACGGACGGATGGACGGACGGACGGATGGACAGACAGACAGACAGACAAACAGACAGATAGATAGATAGATGGATTGCTGGATGTATGGACTGATACTACAGCACTAGATTTGGAGATTGCAGGATGCTGATCACGTGGACAAAGGCCAAAGAAAAGATGGATGGACACCATCAATGAAGACATGCATACTGCCAGCCTGAGACCTGAGGATGCCCAAAACAAAGCCTTGTGGAAATGACACAATGGTAACCCCTCCACTGGGAAAATGGCTTCGGAAGAAGATGGATGGATGGATGGATGAATGGATGGATGGATGGACGGACGGACGGACAGGCGGATGGATAGATAGATGGATGGATGGACAGACGGATAGACAGATACTACAGCACTACATTTAGAGATTGCAAGATGGTGACCATGTGGACAAAAGCCAAAGAAAAGATGGATGGACACCATCAATGAAGACATGCGTACTGTCAGCCTGAGACCTGAGGATGTCCAAAACAAAGCCTTGTGGAAATGACACTCATAATGCTAACCCATCCATTGGGAAAATAGCATAGAAAGAAGAAGAAGATGGATGGATGGATGGATGGATGGATAAATAACAACAACCCAGTGATTCCAGCCATGAAAGCCTTTGACAACAAATAAAACATGGATGGATCTCCAGAATGAAATTGGAGAAGATGGGAAGAAAGCATGGATGGCAGTCTCCCTAGCAAAATGTGTTCCTGAGTTATTATGTCTTTCCAAACATGTAGCGGTAATTCCTAGAGAATGAAGCCAGCAGGAGAAATAGAAAAGCATGGGAAGGCTGCAGGCTGGATTTTTTTTTCCTGATTGTGACCCAGGAGGGATTGCCCTTCCATTTTTGCAGAATCCGATAGAAGCAGAAGAGTGTAACAGGAAGCGGAATCGACCTTTCAAGCAGGCCCATCAGCAAAGGGAAGGCAAGGTAGTTTTATTGCGCTGGTTTGGCCAAATCACTGGAGGCTGCCGAAGGTTTAATGAACCCATTCAGTATTGGTGTCAAGGCATCGCCCGAATCATAAGCTCATTTCCGTGCTCCGTTCCTCCTGTATGGAATTTCAATTATCGACTCCCTTTAAGTGGGCACACAAAGCAAAGGAGTCGGGAGGATAAGTGGTTTCAAGTGTGTCTGTTTAGCATTCCTCATTTCCCTGTCAAATCATCGGCTTCGTGAATGAAGGCTGCGGGAGGCTGCCATGTTTACAGCCTCAAATGAGAACTGGTGAAGCCGAGGAAGCATGGATGCGCGCCTCACGTTGATGTGAAAAGGCGGTGTGCATGCTCAGAGTGCTCTGTGCATACCCATACGTTCAGGGGAGCATGTGAACATGTATATGTGTGTACATATGGAGAGAGAGGATTGACTTTGCTGTCCTGGGTGAACCGACACATGTTGTTGCAACACAGAGCAGAAAACTGGACCCTAAGACAACAATCCACCACACTTGATTTCAGGAAAAACAATACTTTTTTATTGATGAACGATGAGTACAAAAATAGAGGAAATATGCAAGGTAAAAAGCCACAGTAAAAATCAGCAATAAGAAATGTCCATGAACAAGATCAAAAAACCCATAGTAACCCTGCCAAATCCTGGAACCTGTTAGCAATCCACTAACCGTACTTGAAGCAACTAGGAAGCCTCTTAGGAATAAGGCCGCTGGAATCAGGCGACCTGCCAAAGGTGATGGATGAATCTGGAACGATGCCTGGTCTGAAGATGCATCCAGGCGAGAGGTACTTAAGGCCGAGAAATCTATTACGTGACACGCCTGAAGGCTTTGTTTGCATTTCTCTCAATCTAGCTGACCTTCGTAAACTTTGAGATTCTCCCCTGCTCTGCCAAATCTGCCCTCTCCTATCCTCATTAGAGAGCCCAGGTGTCAGATTCTCTGGAGAGCTAAGACTGGGAGGAAAAGGGAGTGAAAGTTCACTGCTTGGCTCTGAAATATTCTCATGGGAATTTGGATTTTCACTTTCCAAGGCTGCAGGAGTTTCACTACACAAACCGTCATCTTCTACATTGACTTCAGAATCAACATCTTCATTGGCATCAGGAAATACAATCAGAGAATCAGGTACAGGTTCATACACAGGCTGAACCCCAACACATGTTTGAGATCTTCAGAAATGATTTCTTTATGTCTCATCATCCACACAGTATATTTCGTGCCTTTTCGATATCTTTCTGATCTGTTTTCCCATTTGTTATTAATGTTTATAACACCATTTGTTCATTGGTTGTGGCGCAGCTGGTTGGGAATCAGCTGCATTAAAATCACTAGTTGGAAGTTGGAAGCCAGCCCGGGTTGGAGTAAGCTCCCGACTATTTGTCTAGCTCGCTGTTGACCTTTGTAGGCCAAAAGACAGTTGCGTCTGTCAAGTAGGAAATTTAGGTACCGCTTATGCAGGGAGGGTAATTTAACTAATTCATGATGCCATAAAACTCTCCAGCAGTATGCAAAAGAATGAGGAAGTACTCAATCCGTGTCACAAGTGGATGGTGAGGCGACAGCTCCCCCGGTGGCCGGGATTCAAAATGCATACCCTCATAAAGCTGGAATGTTAAATAGTGTCTGTGTGTCTGTCTATATATGTTGTGTGTCTACGGCATTGTGTATGTGCATTGTGATCCCCCCTGAGTCCCCTGCAAGGTGAGAAGGGCAGAATATAAATACTGTAAATAAAATAAATAAAATAAATAATAAAAA